ACTCGTGTTCCCCCCCCCCCCGACACTCGTGTTCCCCGCAGCTGGCCCAGATCCTGCCCACGGAGGAGAATTTCCTGCTGTGTTTCCGCCAGCACGTGGGCTCCAGCTCGGCGGTCATGGAGGTGAGCGGGGCGGGCTGTGCCGGGGCTCCCCGCGGCATTCGGTCCCCGGTGCCCGGCTCCACCACGGAGAAACGGTCGGGAGCTGGCATTGCCCAAACTCCCCTGGTCTCCCCCAAACTGTTGGCTTTAACTCAGCATCGGGAGGCGGGATGGGGCATCCCGGTGTGGACGGTGCTGGTTTTGGGGGGAGACCGGGAGTGTGATGAGTTTTCCCAGTCCTCAGAGCTCCCCGGGCACCTCTCAGGGCAGCCGGTCACCTCGTCCCGGTCGCCAGGCGAGGTGAGCTGCGGGGATTTGGAGCTGTTTCTGTAAATTCCCCCTCCGGGGTGGTCAGTCCTTAGCGCCCGAGGGATGTGCTGAAGCAGACAACGCTGCCGGACGTGGCTCTGGGCCACCCCAAAACCTCGCCGTGCCCGGGCACGGGGTGAAACCCATCTGCAGGGCGGGAGAGAAATCGCCGATGGGGACCGAAACGCGGCTGGGGGTGGAGGGGGATGTGCAGCATCCCGAGCTGGGGGAGAGCTTGTGCTTGGAAAATGAAGCCAAGGTGGAGGCGATGGCTGAAGGAGGAGCGCCCCGTTGCACAAGGAGGGGGCAAGCGGGGGCTGCTGTTTAACTGGGGGATGCGATCAAATATTAGAGCCTTGCCTGGCACGCTGGGGCGAGGATAATCGCGCTTGAACTCTTGGCGTGGGGCTGAACAAAAGGAGGGCTCGGAGAGCATCCAGCCCTTAGGGGCGAGCACGTGGACGTGGGGAGGCCACCCCGAGCCCCTGACCGGAGCTGTGAGCTGACCCCATCTCTGCTAGGGTGGCGGGGGATGCCGCGGGCGAGGGGTTATGGGGGGGTACACACATGTCGGTGGTGGGAAACGTGGGGCGCAAGCCCACGCTAATGTTGGCGGCGGCTGCTTCGCAGGCTTGGCGGAGGTACGACACGGACCGCAGCGGCTACATCGAAGCCAACGAGCTCAAGGTGGGCTGCGGGCGCGGGGCGGGCCGGGGCGG